GAAGAGGATATTAAAAGTTTAATGAATAGGAAAGCAGGGATGTACAGGAGAATTGAGGAGGGAAAGTGAACCTGATCAAATTTATTGTATGAAATTCTCAAAGAATTTGTAAAAGCATTAAAAAATATCACATCATTTTGAATTTGGTGGGCATGTTGGCAATGTACATTTTATCCCAGATTTTGGGAGAGAGAGAGGCTGTTCAAAGCCAGAAGTGTCCACATAAAGAAGTTTCAGATTAGCCAGAGCTACACAGTAAAGCACTGTTTCAGAAAGCAGAAAATATATCCAGGAAATAAAATCAGCCAATCAGAGTGACACCAATACTCCATTGTGGAGAAGTGGTCATATTACCAAATAAACACAATGGACCTAGGTATCCATCTGGGGATCAAAGGATGAAGAAAAGGTAATGTAGATGCACAATGGAATGTTATCCAGCCATAAAAAGCATGATATCTTTTTATGTACAGTAGAATGTATGGGAATGGAGAATAACATGTGAAGAGAAATAAGCCTGATACTTAAAGAGAGATGTCACATTTATCTCTCACATGTAGAAACTAGAAAACTCTATCTTAGTAGAGTAATGATTAATAGACATAAATGGCAAAAGTGAGGAAGTGGTAAGCAAGACAGCACAATGGGAACAAAGGACATTTAAATAAAAAAATTTTAGGGCTCTGCATGGTAGACTACCATCCACAATCATCTCTTATTTATATACAAATAAGGAGATGACAGTCACGGAAACAAACATTTACTTAGAATATGTATAAACATATAGATATATCAACCTATGCCCATCAAAATTCGGTGACCTTCTGTTACAAATAATAACACTGACTGACACCATTTATGATATCATTATTCATATACAAATTCATAAAAATATATCACAGAAAAGCGAGATATAAGCAGACAACAATATGGATAGTGTCCAAAGTTTTAGATGTGCAAAATAACGGTTTACAATGAGGTTATATGCTCTTGTGTGGAGGAAAATGCACTCAAAACCTGACCTGTAGCAGAAGGTGCACATCTGTGCCACCTCTTAGTCATTGTGACTTGAGCAAAAGGGTGTACAGGACTTCTGAGATCACGAAAATGTCCTGTATCTTCATTAAAGTAGGCTACTGGAAGGAAGGATTCTGTAAAATATATCGAATGGTTTAAAAAAGAATTCAAACCACTTCCTTAAGTGTATCTTGAAAACTATAAAGAAAGATTACTTTCATTTTAGAATTTTACTTTAATCAAAGCCTTGGCTTTCTGCCTTCAAAATGTCTTAAGTGTGTTAGAGAAAATGGAGTGTATATTAAGTGTAATAGGAGCCACATGCATTAAGGTGAACAGAGGAGGCATCAGTGAGAGAGGGGAGAGAGTGTGACCTCTGTGGAGTATGAGTATTACTGAGAGGTTAGGTGGAGACATGCCTTTTGAACAGTGTACCACAATGTCTTTTGCCACCTGAGCAATCCAATGGCAACATGTACACTTTTGCATCCACTTTACAACAGTGAGACATGGAATGTGACCGTGTGCACAGCTGCAGACACATAAAAACTGAACTCAAGAAAACATTAATGATTCCATAGCGTGTACCAAAATTTCTGATCACACTTACATCGACTATATTGAAAAATACCGTATTACAGTCCACTGAGAACACTTAGAAGCAAGCACAGAACAATTACAATCAGTATCTGCAGCCTGATAAACGTACAAAGGTATTAAAGGCTTGTTCAGGGACTCAGTGTTGACACTGTGGTAACAACTGTAAGACCCTGAGGTGGACACTCCACGAGGGCTCTTGTCTGTTAACCCTGAAGTTCCTAGAAATGGAGCAACAGTGAAATCAGACAAGTACCAAGTTCTGGGATTCCCAAGTCCATATTGAGACTGGCCGGTGGACTGGAGAGGGATTTGTTCTTGAAAACCTAGCAATGGGAAGGCAATTAGATCATCAGCATGAATCTGTGATGGGAAAAAGCTGGATTAGACGCTGGACTTTCAGGTAGTCAGGACTCATTGAGAGCATGAGTTGGTGTCCTTCTGTAATGACATCCAAACACTAGGACAAATGTCACTTTTACAGTGAGACTTTTGCTTTGGAGCTCCACTGATAGCCAGAATAGTCACATAGTGGAAGTTAAGGTTTCACTCACCTTTCCTTGTCCCAGTAAACTCGGTGACAGATGCTCATACAAAGCACACAACGGGCTGACCCCAGACTTTAGTGTCCCCCTGAAGCTCTGTCTTCCTCTGTGTGGAGGTCACTGACCTTCAGAAATATGTGTGATTTATGAGGCCAGTAGGAGGTGTTTGTCCTGGCGCCTCCTGGGGTAGAAACTCAAGGAGAAAGCTCTCAGGAGCAATTAAAGGAGACTCTTGGCTTCATGACCCAAGCTCCCTGCAGACTTGTGTGGAGGACAATGGTCAGGGGAGTCACACACTGAGGGAAGTTTCCCTCCCCCACCAAGCCTGTACATGCATCAGGTCATCGGGATACTCATGTCCTGTGTGGTCTCACCAGAATACAAATTGACTCCTCTGTGTAACGCTGAGAGTGCTTCATATGACTCAGACATACATGGAGTGGGTTCGTTCTAAGTATGTTGTATGTTTAAATCTCCCCTTCCTCTTCCTACATTCAAGCCTTTCTATATCTTGTTGTGAATTAATGTTCCTTCAGCACTTCCATTCTGTTTGCTGCAACTTGTAAGCATCTAAAATATTTATTCAGCCCTGAGGTAGCATTATACAGATAGAAAGGTTTATATTTAGGAATATGTATAAATATGCATCTACTTATACACATGCAATAACCATTAAATAAATAAAAAAGTAAATAAAAAAGTAGCCATGAATTTGGAGAAGAATGATAGAGGGATATGTCAAAGGGCTTCAAGGGAGAAAAGAAAGGTAGGAAAGTTATAATCAAAATATAATCTCAAACAAATTTAAAATTTTATTCAGAGTTTTATGTGTCACCAGATAGAAAAAGAAAACCTAAAAACTAATATAACTAGAATTTTTAATTGAAAAACATTTTTTTTTCACACAATGTATTCTGATCATAGTTTTACCCTCCACAAACTCCTCCCGTATCCTCCCACCCAATTCCATGTTTCTTCTTCCATCCTTTTCAGAAAAGAAACATAAAAGCAAACAAAATACACACCAACAACAAATGAACAAACAAACAAAAACAGACACACAGAACCAAAATCCAAGACAAAATTAGAGACCGTAATATACAGCAAAAGGCCAGTAAGACAAAAAAGGCAAAACACAGAAATATGAGAGAGAAAGTCAGCTAAAATATTACTGAGTTTGTTTTTGTTTTCTATCTACTGCTGAGCAGGTGGCCTACCAGTTAAGTGGGTTTTATACCCAGCGAGACTATTGGTGGGAGTAAAATTTCCCTGAGTGTTCCAAGGTCTCTCAATAGTTGCCATTGTCCAGTTGTGGGCTTCTTGATTAGTTCCCATGTACTGCAGGAGGATGCTTCACTACGATGGCTTCTCTGAGTGAGACACTGATCTATGAGTAAAGCAGAGGTTTGTTAGGAGTATTTTTGTTGCTATGTACCTTTCCCAGAACTGTTGTGTTTTGTTTTCCCCTCTCTTCATGGCATGTCTATTCTTAGGTTCTTGGCCAGCTAAGCAGTGTCAGGTGTGGGTTCTATTTCATGGAGTGGGACTTAAATCCGTGGAGAGAGTGGCTGGCTACTCCCATAAATTTTGTGACACTGTTGCAATAGTTTATCATGCAAGCAGTCACCGCTGCAGATTGAAGGATTTGTAGCTGGCTGGTGTTTACCTTTTTCCTCTGGTAGAGTGCAGAGCACATTCTAGCACCTGGAATACTAGCCAGTTGAGGTGAAGGTTCTTGTTAGGCAATGGCTAGACTTCTCCATATTCAATGAATTATGTATGTGCTGTTTTCAGCAACAGGGTTTTATTATCAGTTTGTGGAGCGCTACCAATTGCCTTGGCAATAGCCTGAGTTTTTAGGGGTTTCCATGGGGTCCTGTTTGCTAAAAATTCAATGAGCTATAACACATTCCTGGCACTGGAGCATATGGTTGCAAGAGATGTCTAACTGGGCCTTTGTCCCTCTTGCTATTTGATGATTCCATTAGGATTTCTTTAACATACATTTGTATTTTAAGATGTCTCTCCTGTAGTAGGTTCCCATGACCACTCAGATGTCCCTCTCTTTATCTCCTCTCTTGCTCCACCTCTTCCCCTCTTTCTGTTTAATTATCCCATTCCAATCCCCCTCTTTCATCCCTTCGTAACTATATGTTCTATTTCTCCTTCCTTGTGAGACCCTCTGTTCCCCCAGCCCTAACTTCCTATGTAACTTCTGTGGTCACATGGATCACAATTTCCGTATTAAAGACCTAGCAGTTAACACCCACATATAAGCAAATATGCCCACTTTATTGTTATTTGGGATTTGGGTCACTTTATTCAGGACAATTTTTGTCTAGCTCCGTTCTTTACTTGCAAATTTAATATTTTTTTCTTTTCTATATTATGTTTTTATTGATTCTTTGGGAATCACTTTGAACAAACTCATATCCCAGTTCTTCCATGTCAACTCCCACCCTTGTGACTTCCCCTCCCCCCCAAAGAAAAGAAAAGAAAAAATCCTTCAATTTGTGTTACCTATATACTCACTGGATTATGGTCAAATGCTCAGGGGCCAGACCCTTAAACAGAACTGAATTATTCCCCTCCTGCACTCCCACCAGAAGCCATCAATTGTGGAGAGCTAATGGCAGAATCCTTATCAAACCCTTTAAGAATTCTTTCTATTTAATCTTCCTATTTGGGCTGATACTTTTACAGGGGCTGTGGGTAGAGATTATCACAGAAGCCTTCCAAGTCCTTCTTTCTCAACTATGCATCTGCAACCATAGATATTCCTACAAAAGTAGCTTCCTTGCTCTTTACAGTCAGTAGGAGCATAGGTCATGGGCTTCCACATAAAAATATGAAGGCTTCAAGAATTTGGGTGCCATCCCTGCACAGGGGTTATGCTAATGTTCTCTGCATCGTTCCAATTTTAGTATACATGCTGCTGAGGTGGGCACAATTTTATGCATTTATTTTAACCCCTGAAAATATTTCATTGTCTAAACTTACAACGTTAAAAAATGTATTCACTTGTTGATAGACATCTAAGGTATTTTAAATTTCTGGCATTTCTGAATAAAACAGCAATGAACATGGATTAACAATTATCTCTGGGGAATCCAAGATGTTGGCGACCAGTGTGCATCATATGTGAGGGGTAGAGGATCGGAGACTCTGAGACGTGAGTGGACAGACAGCTGGATCCACAGCATCGACTTTGGTGCTTCCTGGACTGGAGGGGACTTCCTGGGAGTTTGGGTGAATCAAATCCAGGCCCCCTGTGGCCATCTCCCGGGCCCAGGAAGAGCAAACTGTGGGTCCCTTACCTTTCCACATACTCTGGTGAGTGTGGACATCCAGATCCAGGGACCTTCCATTCTAGCAGCCAGACATTGGATCCCTCCTGCTCCTCCGAGGGCAGAGTTATGATTCCTGGGACAGCATCGTCTCAGAATCCAAGCCACAGTTCCGTGGGTCCCCCTGTGAAGACCAGGTGAACAATAGAATTGCACAGATCCTGGATCCAAGATGGCGGAACCCAGATGAATCTGAGTCCCAGGAGTACAGTGTCTGGCAGGTCTGTAAGCTGCAGCCCAGCTCTCTTCTGAGGTACCCCACGGTTGCCACCCATGCCTGAGCCCTGCGGGACACCTGCACCCATGCTGTGCCCTCACCGAATCTGCACCTTGAGCACACACCCTGTGCCCACACCCTACATTTGGGCCAGCATCCTGCCCTTCGGGCACCCATGCATGCGTGGCTCCTGACCTTCAACGCACCTGCCCACACCTGCACCTGTGCCCCATGCTCCAAGGCACCTGTGGCCGCGCCTTGCCTTTTTACCTGCATCGGAATCACGAGCACCCATTCTTGGGCCCCTGGACCTTTCTTTTCTTCCTGAAGACTACTCCAGACTCCAGAGTCAGGCAGATCTAGTCTTCAGTGCAGGTTCCAGGAACAAACAGCCAAGGCTATAGACAACCAGATGGCTAAAGGCTGGCATAAGAACACAGTCAACAAAAACCAGGACATCATGGCTCCACCAGAATACTCCCCTGCCACCACAACCCCCCCAAACCCCACCTAACCAAACCAAACCAAACCAAACCAAACCAAACCAAACCAAACCAAA